TTTTTTTTTTTTACGCTCCTAAAGTTATGACGCTGATATATCAGCTGTATCCGAGCCAAAATCCACGATAACTTTGGAAATAAGCAAAAAATCAAAAACAAATATCGGAGACACTCCTTTGGAGGAAAAACTATCAAGATGACTTCCTCAAAATTTCAGTTAAATCGGTTAAATTCCCTTTGACATCGTATTCAAAATGTACGGGTAACTGAACGCAAAATCACTTCCGAGAAAAACGCAAAAATGTTTCTGACTGAGCAGAAATGCCTTTGTTGACACAAACTGTATTTTTTTCATTACTCGCTATTAAAAATCACTATCGAAATTTTTTTATGGGGAAAATCGAAGAATATTATATATTTTATCGCAAAATGTAAAAATGTAAAAATCGATACTTTTGAGCAATTTTGGGGTACCCTGATACCTTAAGAAAGTTGGATATAGACTATACAAATACAAATACAAATTTTTCGCGAACATTGATAATTTTAAAGCTAGTGGCTGACTACTTTGGTAAATAATAAACAGAAAATTAAAAATTGAAACTTCTTTAAACTGAAATTTAATGGATTTCAAAAATGCAAAGAAAAATGGGGCGTTTCGAGTTTGTTTTTGAGATAATCAGTCCGGAATGACATGCGTTTATACAACTTTTGTTTGTTCAGGTTCTAAAAATTCAGGTTTTAATTGTTTAATTTAATTGTTCAGGTTTAAAACTTGAGCACAAAACAAACCGAACGACTTTTTACATTGTTCCGGTAAACATGATTTTCTTAAACTTAAGTAATGGGATATTACCTGTTATTCTGGAAAATGACAAAAGAAAAATGGAGTCCCGTGCAAATTTTGAAGGTTTTGCTGTCTTGAATTTCAGTGGCGTGTTTGGCCCTTCATGGGATCAAATCGAATGTTGAAAGAAGTCACCACCTTAAGGTAAACAAATTCCAATTGCTTACTATCAATCACGTGACTTTTTGGAGTTGACTGGGCCGGGGGGCAACTAGCGGATGCTAAGTCAAAACATATCAAAATAAGTCACGACATCAAACCAGAAAAAAAAAAAATGATCAAGACCACCTCCAGGATTCTACAAGCCATCAAAAAAAGCTATTACCGGTAGTGACGTCTATTGATAGCAACCTATTCAATAGTTTTAGGCTTTAATCATATAAGTTATTAATGTAAAAGATCCTATCGTCAATTTTTTTAAATTTTGCATGATGAAAGTACGCTATACTATATACTAGTGGTAAAATAAGCCGGGGGAAAAAAAACTTGTAATAAGACTTATGCAAAAGTATTCTTGACTTTACAAGTGAAAAGCAACAATGMTGACCAACTTTTATTACTGAGTGAACGAACGTGCGTGAAATATTTTTTAGGTCTTAGAAAAAAACACTAGAGGTCCTTTTTTAATTAATTTGAAAAAACTTTATATTATGCCTTGTATAATTTAACTTTCTTCTATTTTTTGCTGTAGTTCTACTTTATTGGAGACTGTACTAGCTAATTACGCTTTGTCGAAGACAAAGATAATATAAGTAAATATTCACCATATTCTCTCACCGTTAGGTAAATAATTGTTTTAGTATAATTTTAGGCTTGAATATGAGAGAAGAGACAAAAATTAGGATAAAAAACCTCCTAGTTTAACTTTCAAATATCAAAACCAAATTCAAAGTTGACATGACCAAATTTAATTATCAGCAAGCATCAAGTAAACTATGATGTTACTCAAGTTACCTAAGTAACCCTCTTTCCTTTCATTTCAATATAAACATCTGGTCAAGTTTTAGTTCTGATCTTTCTTTTGCATAGGTCAGGGACAACTGCTTTTTAAGAGTTTATTAATTCAAGATCCTTTCAGAACTCAATTGAGACTACTTGTATTCATAGTTTATGGGATTTTATCCATCGTTTTGAGTGTTTATCRCAGCAGTTSACGTCTTTATTTACTTAAAAGCGTTCGTTACTGAATAAATCTTATCTATCATGTATTCTGTGAACAATTTTCTAACCGCTTAGTTTAAAAGTTTGAAAAATAAAAGCAAATACATATGTTCATTTTTTTTTTTTTCTGCAGAGAAACCCAAACATCATTCATTTACAAACATATGTTGGCTTCCTGTGTGATTTTCGCGTGATCTGAATCGCA